GCGGGTTGGCGTCATTTCCCAGTGTTAGTGAAGCAGTTGATGTTCTGAAGAGAACTAAGAAAACGCTCCTGGAAGCTGAAAATTTTTAACTACAAAAGATTGCATCGAATAGGGAAGAAGTGATGCTACAATTTCCGTCTGCGGATCTTGCAAATTCCATGGAACCTGGATCGAGATGACTTACCTGTACACCACAGTTTGGGTTTGTGTTGGAACCTAGCTACAGATACCTTTACATACACAGTCTCAGAAGAGCAGAAGCCCTTAACCAAAAGAGGACTGCTGTCCACTGTAAATAGGTTATTCGATCCACTTGGTTTCATTGCGCCCATAATCTTAAATGGCAAACTTACCATGCGAGAAGCATTTACTGGGATTGAGAGTTGGGACGATCCCTTACCTACAGCGACTATGAGTGCTTGGAAACTTTGGTTAGAACAATTGTCGAGACTCGAAGGTGTTCACAATCCCCGGTGCCTATTGTCTGCATCATACAGCAAGTGTGTTGACACAAAGTTACACATCTTTTGTGATACATCTGAAAAGCAGTAGCTGCATGTACTTACATGAGAGGTAGAACCGTTGATGAGAAAATCTCTGTATGATTTGTATTCAGCAAATGTAGAGTTGCACCAAGAAGTGGACACACGATTCCAAGACTGGAACTCTGTGCTGCCGTTCTAGCCTTGGAGCTTGATGAGATGCTTTCAAAATAACTTGACTTACCCTTAGAGGACATCATGTATTACTCTGACAGCAAAGTAGTGCTGGGGTATCTGTCGAATGAGCGCCGACGTTTTTATGTGTATGTATGCAATCGTGTCTCCAGGTAACGTAAGAGTTCTTTTCCACACCAATTGAATTATGTAACAACAGATGAAAACCCTGCTGATCAAGGAACTCGTGGACTTTTGCCAGAACAACTCGGTGATGGTTTGTGGTTAAAGGGGCCAGACTTTCTCAAAGTAAATACAAACAATTTCCAGAATGAGACATTTTCTTTGGTGAACCCAGATCAAGAAAGTGAAGTACGACCAGAGATAGTGACCCTTAAGACTTTATTAAGCAAGCCAACTTTATGAACATCACGTTTCAGTCGCTTTGGTAGTTGGTTAAGTCGTGTGAGGGCCATTACCTTCATCAAGAAATGCATCAGGAAAAAAGCAGGGAAAGTGGATGAAATATCTCGTCGAGAAACTGAGATGTTGATCATTAAAGAGCTTCAACAACAGTATTATCAGAAAGAACTAAGCACATTACGTGCAGGAAAACCCATTCCAAGAGAGAGTACAATTCTGACTCTGTCTCCGTACCTTGATGACGGCTTGCTTTGAGTTGGTGGACAAATCAAATTGTCGGACTTACCTGAAGGGGAGAAGACACCCATCCTTACACCTGGCAAGAGCCATGTTGCCCGACTATTGGTTCATCATCATCATGAGAAAATCTACCACCAAGGGCGTCATCTGACAGAAGGTGCTATACGAAGTGAAGGCCTATGGATCTCTGGAGGGAAACGCTTGGTGTCAACAATCATTTATCACTGCGTGACCTGCCGCAAAATGAGAGGGAAGTCATTATGTCAAATGGCTGATCTTCCTAAAGTCTGCCTTACCAGGTCAGCACCCTTTACCTTTGTTGGTATGGATGTTTTTGGCCCTTGAAGTGTCATCTCGAGACGAACAAGAGGGGGCAGCGCACACTCAAAACGTTGGGTGGTGTTGTTTATCTGTTTGTATAGCAGAGCACTCCACATCAAGATAATTAAGGAGATGACCTCGTCTTCTTTCATCAACGCCTTAAGAAGGTTTGTTGCAGTTCGTGGTGCGGTCTCTGAATTCAAGTCAGATAGAGGGACAAACTTCATTGGGACTGCTACAGAGCTGCAGATGAATGTGGTGAACGTGGAGGACAACAGTGTGAAGACATTTCTTGCGGACAAGAGGATTGTATGGAGGTTTAATCCCCCCACGCATCCCATTTTGGAGACACATGGGAAAGGATAATAGGCATTGCCCGTCGCATCCTTGAGGCAATGCTTATGGATGCCAAACATAGGAAGCTGACTCATGAGGTTTTGACGACCTTTATGGCAGAGGTCATGGGTATAATGAATTCAAGGCCTCTGGTGCCTGTATCTACAAATGTTGAAGCACCATTCGTTCTATCGCCACAGATTCTACTGACACAGAAAACTCATGAAGTACCAAGTGAATTCCAGGATCTTGATGTCAAGGACATGTACCGAAGTCAATGGAAAATGGTCCAGGTCATGGCTAAAACTTTTTGGAAGCGATGGAAAACCGAGTTCCTTTTCAATCTACATCCTCGTCGGAAATGGCAAGATTCAACGGGCAAATCTTAAAGATGGGGATGTTGTTCTACTTCATGACAAAGAAAGTGCGCGCAATGATTGGTCAGTTGGTATCATAAACCGTGTATTTCCAAGTAAGTCGGACGGTCTGGTAATCGAAGTACGTATCATCAACGAAGGAAAGCCATACCTGTGCATCAGGCCCGCTACGGAAGTGATTCCATTGATTACATTGTAACCATGTAGTACATGAACTTGATTCAAATGTAACGTTCTTTGAGTATACCATGTTTTGATATTTTTGTTTAACATGTATTTTCTACATACAAGTAGTATTTTTGTGCTATCAGTGTAAATGTAGTGCAGATTTTGTAAAGAGTGAAAGATGAAGATGTATGCATTTGTAGTATGTGTAGAATTCCATAAAACATGATTCGGTACTTTTGTCTACATTTAGTAACGGTAGCCAATGTCAAGGTTAGGGCGATCATGGTCGTTGTATGTCACGTATTCAGTCGAATAATTCCTGTACGACAGATTATAAATATTGTCAAATCGAATTATCTACTCAAAACATGAAATCTCATTACATATTAAGTTTAGCAAACTGTTTATTTATAAAATTTCATAAGAATCAAGTTTGTATTAAGAGAGAATTTTTTTATACATGTAGAATGAAACATATAGTAATATGTACTAGACTGTCTGAGTTGCATTTATTTTGCTGTTTAACTTGTTTGTTTTTGTAACATTGTACTTCTGACTGTGTTGTTTATTTTTCAGTTTCTTACTACGTACTACTACAATAAATGATGAAAAGCACCCTAGGTATTCAATAGAAGGCTTTACTTGACACAAGACACGCCGTAACGCTAATTCGCAACTCTTACCGCGCGTTGTGTGCTGGCGCGACGGTGTGTTGCTTGATAGCGTGTTGTGTGTTAGCGAGACGGCTCATTGCCTGAACTTGTTTTAGAGTGAGAGCGTGCTGTGTTTTATCAGTACGGCGTGTTGTGTGTTAGCAGGACGGCATGGTGTGTAAAGTTATCCTAGCGTGACAATTGTTGTGTTTTAGCTAGACTGCATGTTGTGTAAAGATATCTTAGCGTGGCAGTTGTTGTGAGTAAGCGGGACGGCATGTTGTGTGAAGTTATCTTAGCGTGACAGCATGTTTTGTGTTAGCGGGACGGCATGTTGTGTAAAGATATCCTAGCGTGACAGCGTGCTGTGTGTTATCGGGACGGCATGTCATGTAAAATTATTTAAGCGTGACAGCGAACTTGTGTTAGTGAGACAACATGTTGTTTGTTAGCGCGATGACGTGTTTTTTGCTCAACTTGTCAGAAACCAAAAGAGCTTATAAGATAGTTATGCTGCTTATGCGTCCGTCGTCCGTTCGTCTGTCTGTCTGTCCGTCTGTCTGTCTGTAAACAATTTTTCAAAATGCTACTCCTCTTTCAGTTTTTTGTCTGATTTCAAAATAACTTGGCACACAAGTAGACTACACTAAAATACATAATTCTGTGCATTGGTTTAAGATTTCGATGAACGGTGTTGCTGTGGTTATTTAAAATAGAAATTTCTGTGAAATGCTTTCAAAATGCTACTCCTCCTACAGTTTTGGTCTGATTTCAATATAACTTGGCACACAAGTAGGCTACACTAAAATACATAATTCTGTGCATTGGTTTTGGATTTCGATGAACGTATTGCCGTGGTAACTAAAAATAGAAATTTCTGTGAAATGCTTTCAAAATGCTACTCCTCCTACAGTTTTTGTCTGATTACAATATAACTTGGCACACAAGTAGACTACACTAAAATACATGATTCTGTGCATTGGTTTTGGATTTCGATGAACGGTATTGCCGTGGTAACTAAAAATAGAAATTTCTGTGAAATGCTTTCAAAATGCTACTCCTCCTACAGTTTTGGTCTGATTTCAATATAACTTGGAACACAAGTAGACTACACTGAGATACATAATTCTGTCTGTCGGTTGTATAATTATTTTGATGGAGAGTGTTGCCGTGGTAACTAAAAAAATTACTGTAAAATACTTTAAAAATGCTATTCCAAATAGAGTTTTAGTCTGATTATAATATAATGTGACATGCAGGTAGACTACACTACGATATATTATTATCTTTAATTTTTTTTTTATTTAATTTTTTAATGATGTTACCATGGTAACTAACATTGATAATTCTGTAAAATTGTATTAAAAACTACTTCTACAGTTGTAGTCTTATTGCAATATTGCCACAAAAAGTGATTTTATAAAAAATCATTTATTTACTCTATTTATTGCTGTATTTAAGTTTCAAGTCCCACTTGCTACTCCTCTTTTCCATTGTTATATTAGTATAAACCAGTAGAGCTACAGTCTCGACAGAGACTTCTGGTTCTAAACGCACTGTAATAACGCTATCTGGACACCATATATTTATGCCATTTGCTGTTTGATTAATTTTAAATCGCAACTATGTCTTTAATTGTGCTTGAGGTTTGTATTTTTTCAAAGAAAATTGATTGATTAGTTGAAGGATTGACTGCAATATTAAAATATTATTATAAAAATATTGCTTTGGACATAACAGTTTGCAGAATATTTAATCTTTTATTTGAATTTTTGACATACCTGAGCATCGTTCCATTTTCTTGGGGATCGAACCATATACAACTTGCCTTTAAAGGGTATCCATACTTCTTGAAATTCTAGGAGATATACAAAAGAAATAAAAATCGTGTAGAGCCCAATTTTGTAAATTTTATCCTGCATTGATAACTTTTGTCGATAAACAGTCTTTGGATAAAAAAAAAATAGGAAAATTCTCTAAGTTGACAGATCATAAAAGATTTTACTTTTGAAATAATTTCTCCTAAATGAATTTCCACTGCATGTTATTTTGATGTGACTTATAAAAAAGTTTTATACATGAATTGGCCACAAAGACTGGCATTTAAAATTCATATATAATGCAGAAAACTTGATGTCGAGTTCTGTTACATGTGGCAATATTTCTTTTAATTCAAAAGTTTCAGTATCTATCATAGGAGAGTTCTCGGAGAGGAACAAAATAAAAACATATACGTATTTTTTCTTCATAGGAATTTTTTCAAACTGATCAGTTAAAAATAATTTAACAGTCTTTTATGAATAAATTGTTGTGTATTTCTAAGTGCAGATTTGAGAAAAAAATGATTAAATGCACAGACTAATTCTCTACTAGGTTCTTATGTATATTCTGTTTTTTTAAAAAAAAATTCTTCTTCATAATAAGAAAACCGTCGGATATATTGATATAATTTGTATGTAAAATTATATATCATACCACAACTCAGATTTATTGTCCATTCAACATTTGAAGAACATCCGAGCATTCCTGAACCTTTTTTCTTGAAAATATACTTGTGACACTATAGATGTATCCGTCGGTAGATTCCTATTGCGTCCCATCTTTCCAAACTATTCGAGTCAGCGCCTTTTACAACCGGAGGCATTCCACAGTCTGTTTACATTTAAGAATATGTCAAAATTTAGCCGTGCTCATGTTTTTTAATGAAACATTTTTTTGATAACTATTTTATTGATAATCCCCTCACAATGAAGTTCGAGAGGATATAGTGACTCGCTTGTGTGTATGGAAGGTTAAGAGGGTGTAAAGGTTTGTGGGTAGGTTTGTTCTCTGCGAAATGGAAGTGACATAATTTGCATCAGGACCGATATCAGAGGATGCCTTAATCTATAATTACCAGTATGCTTTTTAACAGAGGATGCTCCCTTTCGCGTTGTCCTTGTTAGCGATTTTTTTTCTTAAGATTGGTTTTAAGTGTGCATGATATAACGAGGCTGGGGGGTGGCAGCCATTTTCAGACTATTTCGATCTCCTTTAAAAGAAGAGCTCCATATAAAAATATACAAAAATGATCAAATTTTAAAACTAAAATGTATGAATTTTTTCTTTGCCAAATGATAGTTGACAGCTTAAGATACCGTATCTAAAAAAATAAGTTAAATCTGGTGGTTAATTTGTGATTAATTTGTTGACCCCCCCCCCCCCCCAGCCTCCTTAAATGCATGTAGCGAACAGTCTCATGCCAAATGGCATTCTATTAAGTCAGCGAGCTATTTAATTTTTGCAAAGATCTCAAAAAATATATTACAATCCAAGTTCCCGTATGCATGTGGACATAGTAATTTTCTGTCTAATTATTAACTGGCCATCAGTTGCCCGCCTTGCATACTGGTTAGAGCGTCTGCTCTAGAGTTGCGAAGTTAGGAGTCAATCCTTACGTCGCGGGTTAGAATCCCACTGTGGGACTCGGAGACCGTTCCTTCGGATGAGACCTTAAAAACCGAGGTCCCGTTTCACAGTAGATGTTGGCACGAAAAAGATCCCTCAATGCTCAATGACTCCAAGTGCCGAGTTTAGGACAAAATTTGCAGCTCTCCATCGGCAAGTGGTGGCGTCTCCATATGAGTGAAAATTCTCGAGAGGGACGTTACACAACATAAAATTAGTCTAGAGTCGCGTTGTATGGAGTGTATCCTTAATCCACGGGTTCGAATCCCACTGCTTAAAAAGGAAACTGGCCCTTATAAATCCTATAATCTGGGATCCGTATAGAGCCACAAAAAGATTCATCTATTCTAAAAGGATGTCGCAGACCAGTAAAGGCGTTTTGTTGTTACTTAAATTCCCCGAGAACTTGAAACAAACAAACTTACCTGATAGTATACATTCATAATTTCCAAGGGATTTTGGGATGCATTTTTCATTTATTTTGCACACTGCCTTCGAACAAGATCCTGTTATTTTCTGTAAGACATAAGATATTAAGTGAATAATGAATGCCCAGTCAAAATCTATTAATTGCAGTCATGAAAATGAAAAAAAATTGGATATTTTTGTTTTATTATTTTGTACTTCTTAGATGCATGTATTCTGTTCCGTTAATTCAAATCCTTAGTGAATACATCCTTCGTATAAGACTTTTGAGCTTTATTAACTTATATCATATTCACAATATGTTAAGAGATCATGTTTTTTTTTCTTTAATTGATTTAATCACCATGGAGATGCAAAGTTGTTTCTATATAGCTGTGAATTTATTATATCATCGCATCAGAGATTGGGAGAATATACACTATAGTACATTGCTGCGCATTCGAGTGCGCGGATTATATCATGGCATCAAAGATTAGAGTAAATACACTATAGTACATTGTTGCGCATTCGAGTGCGCGGAACAAATGTTGAGTTATTTCTTCCGGATCGATGTTGAATGCTGCTTTGAATTAAAGATATGTTCTTTGCAATAGGATGCTCCCTCTTGTCCCGTCCTTGATACACATGTATATAAGTGTCTACTAGAAATGTAAAAATGTAAATGTAAAAACTTAAAGAGGTCCAGTAAATGGTAAATAAAATTAATAAAAACATATAACATAATCAAAAAACAATCCTGATTAAATGTTGATAGTGGCAATGTGATGTAATGTAAAAAAAAATTATTTGAAAGTAAATTTTAACATAAACTTCACTGCGTGGGAGACGTACTCTTTCTCAAGAATTGTATTCCTATTAAATCTGACTATTCAAGGAGTCTGCAATTAAAATTTTTCACATTTAGTAGAACTAAGTAGTAATATGTTATTCATGTACCTTTTAAAATCATAAGATTATTAAAAGAAGACAAGATGTTATATAAAAAATAAAACATTTTATGCGAAAATTAATGCACTACTTTTATTAGATCGTTGGGCTTTAACAATATTTTCAGAATAAAATAGACCATATTTATATACAGAATGTCATAACATATAATGAAATTAGATCAGTGATATTTTATAATAATAATAATAATAATAACTAGAGCCGAGCTCGTTGCAAAGCAACGCGTAGGTCTTCCGTCCTGTTTGACCGGAAGTAGATTTTATTTTTAACAAAAGTGAGAAATAACGCCCAGAAATAGCTTGAATCCTCTAAAGCTATGTTAATCATTGCAAAAATAAGTCATTTTTTGCTACTTCCGGTGTGACCGGAAGTGACGACGACGGACGGAAAATAATTTTTTTATTGTCCCAGAGACATCTGTTACCTAAAAACGTGTCAAGAACGGCTAAAATTCGCGTTTTCCGACTACTTCCGGTTTGGCCGGAAGAGACATCGCCGGACGAATTTTGACGACGCCAATACATTAAGCTTGACATTTTGAACAACTTTGCTTCTTTGATGTATTAAAAATTCCTTATAGATTTTGAGATATAAAGAAAAAACTTTTGGCCCCTTCAGGCCCCTAAATTTAGGGGCTAGCCCTTTTGTCGAGATATTATTTGAAAGGTCTTGGAATTCTACACTTCTTTTGTTCAATATGTCTTAACAAAATATTTTCAGGTAAAAAAATATCGTAGAAAAGGTGTAAAAAATTTGAAATTCAAGATACGACTATTTTCGGGCCATAGCGAGCGCCGACGTGCGTCATTTCCGGTAAATTTGATATACCTTATGCACCTTTCCAAACTTAGCTCTACCTAACCTCAAAGTTTGAAGTTTCTATCTAGAGCCGTTTTTCGGGAAAACTGTGGACCAAATGACCCTTAAAAATCAGAAAATCGACGATATCTCTAGACCGGAAGTGACGTCATCTAAACGGAAAAAAACGCATAAGGTTCAAGTAATGTTCCATAAGTCCTGAAAGTTTCATAAGATTTTGTTTGGCCGTTTTCGAGAAATCGCGTGCACAAAATCGGTAAGAAAAAAAAAATAATAATAAAAGTGAAAAAGAAACCGAAGAAAAACAATAAGGTCTTCCGCTGCAGACGGGAGACCTTAATAATAATAATAATAATAAATTCTTTTATTTAGACAGGATAGCACAATTAGTACATATGACTAGTTTACATTGTGGTCCTGTATAAAACACATTTACAGACAGATAAAAAAAAAAGACCGGTAAGACTCACCTGTGCTCCTTCTCATTATATGCAAATATCTGGAAAAAACCACCGACAATTCAGTGTGTAATTAACGGCCTTAAGAGTATTATGAAAAATTCAGTCATCATTTGACTCAATGATAAATTGTATTTGCTGACAAGGTCAACCTTTTTGTCAATAATTTACCTCGTTTTAGAAATTCTTCATACGTAGAGCATGCTCCTGCGTATCGTATCAACTGAGAGATATAAACCCCGTATGCAAGTGACAATATATATTCCTGGAAGTTAACGTTTGAAAAGTCGAAGTCACCACGATTGTCATAAAGCTTCGTTATACACTTATCGACCTTTGCTAGAAAATATCCATATATAAAACAAATGTGTCAAACTCACCACGACTAAACAGTAAAGACGACAGTAATAATCAGTATTTATCAGACTCAACGGTTAATTCGACTGTAATTATCATTATTTATCAGACTCAACAGTAAATACGACATTAATTATAATCATTTATCCCTATTTTTAAATTCCTTGACGCTTAGGCTTCCATGTCATGAAAATGTAAAGAGTTGCGGCCCTTTTATATTACAACTAAATATTAACTATATAGTTATGTATTCATTGTCCCCTAAATGTCAACAAAATTTCAAACCAGAATTTCCAAAAGAGCATCAAATATACCCTTTAAAAAAATCCTACTTAAACGGGGGAGGGGGTATTTTGTGATGAGATAAAGTAACTAACATACACGAGTTATAAAATTGATGTACTTTATCAACATGATTAAGTCACGTTAATATCTCGTTTTAATAAAAAAATTTTAATAATAAAAAATTCATAAAAATCCAGCCTAGCGCGTCACACTCTCTATATAAGAATTTAAATGCATTAAGACAATAGTTCTTAATTACTTAATTAACTTAGGTAAATTAATCAATGACTTAAAGCACTGTATTCATTCTTTAAGAAAAACATTCAGCCAATTATAGTCAATAAGTTGATTTTGATCTTGTTAAAGTAATATATACGACCTTGTCTTCAGACCCATGAATAGATACAAAAGAATCAATCAACCAAATGTTAATTTAATGTTTAAATCAATAATGCAGTTAAGAATAATTGCTTTTAAAACAGATATTTAACCAAACAAAGTTCACGACAATACTTAAGAATATGGCACAAGATCAATTTCCTCAGAATTAGTGGTTGACGAAAGATAATTATTGACACTGCGTATTAAAGCAATACATAAGAAACGGATTTTTATACGTTTGACACTTTACTACATTAATTTGAGGCCATAATTAGCAGGCGTCTTCACTATGAATGAGAATATTATGCTGCTGCTAAGTTTGGTGTTATTCCACAGGGTCAGTAGTCTAGATTTTATACACGAGGAAAGATATGCTGGTCCGGTGATTTTAGTGATGAAGA